ACTGTTCTACAAATTATGAGAACATACTATAGTACTGAAAAGATTGATCAGCAAAGCGAATAGTTGTTTATTGAAAATGCTCTAGAAATCGTCTCGGAATTGATTTTCGAAATTCAGTATGAAATTTGCTAAGTACTGAGATATTCTTGTGTTTTTAATTATATGCTGTTGTCTTAGGTATAAAAAGATATTATAATAGATACAATCAAATTAAAGGTCAAACAAAATCTTTTATTGCTTATCTCATACAAACATATAGGTATTGAATAGAGCTTTCAGATGATATAAGAATGGTGGTGACCTGTTTTAGACGAAGTAACATCCTCAACTTTATATTTCATAGCTCGATGTAGTTCATATGTATTCGGTAGTATTAGGAACATGCTAAAATTCAATCAAATTTGATTTCCCTCTCTATTGTCACTGTTCTCTTAAGTGATTAGCTAATTTTTTTTATATCAGTCAATAGAGAAATGTTTGCTCTCATCTGAAAACAAACTCTTACTTCTCTACAACCAGCATAACGTGAATTACCAGAGAAACATTAAAAATGTTTTTTTCTTCCGGCGGAATTAGAACATGTGACTCTACATAATGTGTATAAGAAACGTGTGACTACAAGACAACGAATAGAAAATATCAATGAGCAATAAGAATAATAACAAGGACACATATGCGATACAAAAAAAAAAACAATAGATCTATATGAACTACTATGTAACAATATATCTTGAAAGCTTCCATAGTCATGTTATGCTTTCATTATAGAATATTGAGAATAGATCAAAAATAAGTTTATGTATACAAAATAAATTTCATTAGTATGTACTCAGTTACATGATCATAATTATAAGACAATAACAAATATTGTCAAATATGAAATATTTCAATTGTTTGATTTTCTAGTAATAAATAATAGACTGTTTGTTTTCTTATTTTTTGAATTTATCATTTATTTTTGTAATATGAATGACCAATACGTAAATATTTTCATAATTATCATATGAAAAAAAAATGTTATATATATATATATATTTATATATGACTTTTATGTTAAGAGCTTTCTAAGATTATTATTGCCCTTCACCAGTGTGTCATATATTAGCTGATGTAAATTGTTTTTTGATGATGAGATATAGAGATTGAAATTATGAATACTATTAGTGCATTCAATCGATTATTCATTGATAAATTCACACATTTAATGGGAAAAAACGTTTAAAACTCATAAACAATTATCAAAAAGAAAAAGAATAGTTATAAATCTCCCATTATGAGTTCATCTATCTTCATCAGAGGTCAATGCTATCAAATGAAACTTGATTGAAAAGATCGAATAATTATAATATACATATGAAATTTAATGTATTCTATTTCAACATAATAAGTAAATTTTTATAGTAACAAAAAAACAAAAACTTCAATATTTCGAGAGAAAAAAATTTCAAGAATATCTAATAAATGAGAATCTTGGCTGTTTCATTTTTTTTTAATAATATATTAAGATGATAAGTAATTTAATAATATTAATTAATATGATAATATTGTCTCATAGTGACAATTGAAAATAAAAACTAGAGTAAATTTGTCAAATTACAATAGACTAAATATTGTCATTTACTATATCGAAAAGTTCTATAAAATTCGAATAATCTATTTATAATAAAAAAATATTACTTCATCATTCGATAAGAAATCCTCATGTTATTATATTAACTAGTAATTTATTTTTCTTTTTTGAATTTGTTGAATGTATTGAAAGTCATTTTGCTGATTGAATGGATAACGAATGATAATTTTGTTAGTATAGAATAACCATGAATAGACTCGTTTGATGACGTTATAAATTGTAATCTATTATCAATAACAAAACAAAAATAAAATGAATTCATACGTGTTTTATTTTTCAATAACAAATTAGTGAGCTTGTGTTTTTTTCTATCGTTTCTCGATTGTCACAAAGCCTATTCATAATAATTTTGTACGTTAGATCAATTCCACTTTTGTCAGTATTATCTTTCGTATTTATTATCAATGCTTGTTTTTTATAATTTTTTCATAAGCATCTATGATTCATCTATTTATTATGTAAATATTATGGATAAAAGTAATTGAGTTTGGGTGCAATTTGAAAGATCTTTATGATATATTTTTATATGCGCATAGTTAGATATGAAAAATGGCGTTCGAACGTGTCAACATGGTTTATTTCATTTATGTTTAGATGTATTCAGATGCTATTACATAAATTGTGTTTAAGATTCAATATCTACATTGTATTGTAGGGATATTTAGAACATGGAATTTCATTGAAGTATGTTTCAATTATTAGGACTTTTTGATAAAGCTTGTTTTCGTGTTCTATATATAATAGAGACAAAATGAATATCGATTTAATCAATCTTTCATCCTATTTAGTTCTTATTTAGAAAAATTCAAATTTAATCTGCAAGTTTTTAATTACGTTTAAAACGAGTAAAAATAATAAAAATTTTTACGTATATGTTCTTAATTTTTATCTAATGAAGTTCAAATCATTCAAAGTTTATATTTGATTAAAAATTATATCTAAGATAGTCTTCTCCTTCAGGCTAAATTAAATCTATTCTATTGATTGTTTAATAATCATATCAGTTTTGAATAAAATAAATTTCTACAGTATGTATGTAGTTCTAAATAATATATAACATACAGTTTTCATTAATAACTTATATTAATTTCTTTATTTGTTAAGTTCTTATTGAATTATTCATCTAGTTTGTTAATAAAAATTCAATGTCATTCATAGTGTAACAGTATTCGCATATAGAGATTTATCAATTTTGTTAAAAGGAATCGAAGGATTGGAATGACGAGATATAGTATGATTAGCTATTTGTTTATTCGTTTGATCACCATAAATTTTAATTTCCGGAGTCATGCTATGTATTGATTTATTTGTTTGATAATATGGATATTTTGTTAAAGGTACTGTTGATGGTGTTACATTGATAATTTCATCATCTGATTTTTGAAGATTATTATAACGATTATTAATATGACATGTAACATAAATTGTCCATAAACCAAGTAATAGACAAAGACACCCACAAATTATTTCTGAAATAAGTACAGGCATAAATGATAATGCTGTTCGACTAATAATTTTTACACAACCACGTTGTTCATCTTGATCAGCATAAATCATTCGATATTTTTCTTCTCGATTACATTCAGCTGCTTGAGAATATACTTTCGTCCATGTTAAATCTTGTGTTGTACAACAATCATTACTATTTTCAATTTTAAGTAGTTCATCACGTGCTGATGTTTCTTTATTTTATTAAAATTTATTATTATTATTATTTATTAAATATGTTTTTCTTGTTTTTTTTTCTCTTTACTTACTATTATGAATAATAAAATCGACAAGTAATCGTTCTATATCAATAGGAAAATTCTCAACTATATTTTGAACAAATCCAAGCATAATAACACTGAGAACAATAAGACCAATACCTAAAATAATATTTGAAACAATAGATGTGATCAACATTTCCGTTCGACCATCAGTAAGAACAGTAATAAAACCAAGTATTGATGATATACATACAATAATACTCATTATAAGAGCTATTGTCGGAAATGATTTATTAATTTTATTGGTTACATAGTCACGTTTTCGTTCACGATTTAATAAACTTGCGTCACGCTGTAATCGATAAAGACTTAAAATAAATGTTATTGAAGCAGTAATAATTACTAAACAGCTAAGAGAATATAAAATGTAATTTCTAGATTTATATTTTAAAAGTCGCATCATATTGTGTAGATAAATAACTAGAAGAAAACGCGCTGAATGTATATAAGAAACATTTCAATTTAAATAAGATTATGGAGTAAAAGAAAATTAGTTACGTGTTCTTCTTCAATCCTAAAAATATTTAAAATTTTCTTTCATTGTAATTAAAATTAGTGAATTCGAAAAAATTAAGTTGATTGATTGATTAATATTCTTATCTGTACAATTAGCTGTAGCATATTATTTGTTATCAATAGACGAACTATTTTTATTTGATTTATTAAAACTATTTATTTTTCGACCTAGATAAATTTTATTACAAGTTTCTATTATAGCCTTGAACGTTTTTTTTTCTTTTGACATTGATGTGAGAATACTTGACTTTCTCTTATTGAGCCATTATAATAAAAAAGAAAACTATTAAAAACTATTCACTAGAAAAAAAAAAAGATTATATATTTTCTTTGTTTTTTGAACTGCACAATAAATGCTTTCAGCAAAAAAGAAATGTTTCACTTATATTGTTCTTATATTTGATTGTGAATAATCGTTAGTCTTTCTATGTTTTATTTGATCAACATTGACCCAACTGTCTTTCCTACATTTTTATGATTAAGTTTAATATCATCATCATCATCATCAACATTCGTGTACACATCATATAAGGAACACTTGATTAAACAATAGAACAAGCATTTGCTTTTTTTGTGGTTTGGGAATTTTTTTTCTCTTTTTTTTCCTTGCCCTGTTGTCTTCCTCTTGTTTTTCTATTGATTGAAGTTGTGGTTACTACTTTAAGAAGATCACTTCTTTTCATGAACGATAAAACTACAACATAGAAAAAAAAGGACGCTAAAAACACTGACAGACAGGGAAAGAACGAGCAAAAGAAAAATCCAAAGAAAAAAAAAACGAATAGCAAAATGTCAGAACTATCATCATACTTGTTCCATACATTTTCTTTTCTTGAATGATGATCGTGTTTCTCGGATTTTCCTTCGTACTCGTCCGCTAGTAATGAACTCTGCATATATGTTTGTTCTAGTCCTTTTTTCTACTCTTTTTTTCTGTTCTTTTTTTTGCCTTCTCTCCTAGTTTGACAAGAAAATGAGAATGAACATTCTTCTAGCATTAACGATTATAGAGTGTATTTTCTTTTTTTTTTTTGTTAGATCTAATTTATAGTATTGTATCCTGTTATTAAGAAAACTAACAAATAATGGACAGTAACATTGGAGGTATTAAAAAATAGATATTTCTAATCTAGAATATTTTTTTTGTATTTCGTATTCTTGTATTTAGCTCATGCCGCGATGACACCAATTAATGAGAATGTCTGTCTTAGTGCTTGTACAAGTAAAGATGATTTTGATAAATTAAAACAAGGTCTAACATTACTTGAACAAGCTAAAGTTTATGATCATAATCGAGATTATTATGCTGCTATACGTCATTATCGTGATGGAGTTGATTATTTAATGGATGAATTCATGTCTCGTGCATGTGCTAATGAACAATCAAAAGAATATCTTCGAATTAAATGTCATAAAATTTTAAACCGTGTTGATATTTTAAAAAAATTAATTAAACAACAAGAGCATGAAACAATACAAGAAGCTATAAATAATGATGAACAACAAAAAGAAAGCGAAAATTAATCTTTATGTACTTGTCTATGTTTTCGTAGAAATTAACATTAAAATAAAATGAATTTTTTTGTCTTGTGTTTCTCTGTCGTTTCTTTTTTCTTTTTTGCTTAATATTTGAATTGTAGATGAAATAGACAAAACTAAATTTTAATCGAATGGATACAACTAATATATATTATTCATCTGATAAAATACCAGTAGCAATACCATATCAATCAGCAACATCCATAACACGTTTATCAACAACAGAAGAAAATGAATTTGTTGCTCGAAATCAGTTTCGTTTAGCATTAGTATTTAGTGGTCTATGGCTTTCATATTGTTGGTGGCTTTCGGAACGATATCGTTTTGATTTTGGTCGATATACAACTATCGTTCGTCTTTTATTTTGTATTATACATGTTTTAACAGTGTGGAAATTTTTTCAATATATTATTAAACTTGCTTTTCGTCTATATCGTTTAACTAGACGAATACGAGCAGCTTTACCACGACATTTAACAATGATTATATTATCACTCGTCTTATTTGCATTATTAACATTTGTTCTTAATTTTAAACAATTCTTAAGAGATGCTTTTGCGATAGTAGATTAAAATGTTTCTTTTTTTTTAAATATGTTTATTTATTTATTGATTGATTTATTTATTTTTGTGTTTTAAAGTATTTCAATATGTAATTTTGTCATGTTATTGCTGTTATCATTAGTGACTATTTGACAACGATATTTTAGATAATTCTTCATTACAGAAGCATATGTAATTCGATATAGAATAGAAAAAAATAAATAGAAAGGATGAGTAATGATTTCTGAGGAAATCGGTTTTTATTGAATTTTAATGATTTGTTTGAATAAAAACTAACAAAAAATCATCATAAAAACAATACCTTATATTTAGATTTTTATCATTTTTTAGTGATTTTAGTGAACGTTTACAAGCTCAAAACTGGGTCATATTTTGAGTTTTTTAAGCATACTCAGCGAGTTTCTCGTTTGCCCATATGCATTGATGTATGTGCTAGTTACTGATTGTAAGCCAAATGAGTTATATATCAGTAGATACTTCTGAAAAAAAAAATATTTTCAAAATTTGTATAACATTGGTTTATCAGAAATGTAAAAATAAACAACGTCTTGTTAATATACTTTTTGAATACTATCAGTGTTAAGTATAAATCGTCTTATGTGCTAAATTAAAGTTCACTCACTCGAAATTTTGTGTCATTCGGTAGGGTTTTTTTTTACGAACTACTAGCTCATGTATAATTTCTTTGTAAATAAAGTTCTGAACTAGAGCTGGGTACAGAACAACTTTTTCTGTCCTAGCGGAAGGGAGCAGGACAGGATAGGAGGACCATCCTGTTTTATAGCTAGCTGTGATGTGAACATGTGCCGAATGCAGATCGTTTTGTTCATATAGAGAAACGAGCATTTTTTTTCCACTAGATCAAAACTAATGTCATAATCGTGATCAACATAGACAACTGATGTTAATCTATGTATGCTTCCAAATTTTCTGACAATTTTGGTTTTTCGGCTAATTTCTTTTATGGAAACTCTAAGACGAGCCAGGCTGCAGTTGTGACCGAAAAACCAAACTCGTGTGAAAATTTTGTAACGTACATAGATTAACACCGGGTTTTTTTATATTGATTCTGTTTATGACATTTGCTTTGATTGAAAAGATAATTTTTACGATCGACATTGCTGAATACCAGTAAAAACAAATACTCTTTTCCTTATGCGAAATAAAAACCGGTCTTCATTCGGAACATATTTGCATTTTCATTTCCAAAGAAATTATACATGAGCTTGTAGTTCGTAAAATAAAAACTATTTCATGGTGCAAAATTTAAAGTGAGTAAACTCAATTTCATCACATAAGACGATGTATACTTAACGCTGATAGTATTTAAAAAAGTATCTTGACAAAACTTCGTTTGTTTTTAAATTTCTCTTATACGATTATTATAGAAATTTTAGAAATCAAGAATATCTCTGAGTACACTTGAAAAAAAAGAACATATGGCCGAGTCCTAAGGTTTTAAACACTTACTGAAATTATTGAAAAATCATAAAAATCTAAATGTTAAGTATTGTTTCTATAATCATTTTTGTTCATTTTTAGCCAAACAGATCATTAAAACTCAATAGGTGTGATTTTCTTCGAAATGTTCACCATGCTTTCTACAATTTTTTTTCAAAGTTTTATAGATCAAATAAAATATATGCTGTATGAGAACAGGTCTCTCGATCGATGACGTACTATCTATGGTCTCTGGACATGTAAATGCATCAGATGATACGTTTTTATTAAAACAATTAGTAGACAAATTTGAACAATAACATATATATATATAGTAGATATTAGTGTTTTGTTCATCGGCATTGAACCCAAATGCGGTGAACTTAATCAAGTTCATGAGAAAATAATTTTGAGAAAAAATCGAAACTTGTAAAATACTCTAAGGGCAATGAATTTTATATGACTCGTTAAAGTTATTTTGTTTTATATAGCGTGTGTTGTATTATAGATTCTAAAGCATAAAGACACTGATAGAAGAGTATGAGGATCCACAATACAAATAGTTATATAAAGATAATAGTATAGATATAGCAGCTTCCATCTCGGAATATATACTTGAAGACATTTTTAGAAGAACATTAGGGAAATGTTCAACATAATTCTTTTATCGTTTATTGTCGAAATCTTTAGATCTATCGATGAAGTTCCATGAAATCTTGTTGAATTTAGATAATATCTAATCAATTTATTTATAAGTTAAGGAATTGCATAACATTCGGATAACACATGTGAGATGGAATAGAGAAGTTCATAAATAATTAACAAGTTAAAACTTTTGATAAAAATCCATTACTTTCATGAATAATATGATGAGTGTCATTACTAATGAGATTTTGAAAATTTGACAAGCTTTTATATTGTGTACTGTCCGGGAAGAGATGTCATAATTCCCATAATAATCTGTTTGGAATGAATAGTTGTTCATTGTCTTAATTTGACTTCAATTTACTTAGAGCTGAATCATTTCTAACAAAGTTGGACGACGAAAATACATGGATGCCTATCATTTTACCACAAATTCTTAATTTAGGGACTTTCGAGAATCAAACATTTTAAAGTATTTGATTAGTTCAAGTAGAGTAATGACAGCATCGATGTTATTTGTAACACTTTAAAATCGAAATAGTAACCTCACGGAGATATTTTCAAATAAAAATATCCAGTGTTGATATGATCGGAAAGTTGTGGAAGGACATCCTTCCTGCTTTTCAAAGTTTGACTGTAGCTGTCTTCGATTTCGTGAAAATTTGCGCTGTATCTTTCTTTCGTTTGTACAGATTTAGGCTATGCCTTTCTCTCATTTAGGATCAACTATCAAAGATAGATTTTTTTTTGAAAATCGTGAGCGTTTGTAGACTACTTCTTTCTTTAATTTCGAAAGATTTGAATTTAACTTTCTATCACAAGTCGAGATGTTTTTAAAGTATCTAGCGTTTTTCAGGTAATAGAGTTCAGAATCATTCATTAAAATTTCTCAAGTAACCGTGCGAGCATTATTATACTTGTCAATAATAAATGAACTTGACAAGATTTGAAAAATATTGCCTTAGAGGCAGAACTATTCCATGACTTATTTGGACCTGTGACAGTTCGCGACCGAGATGCTCAACTGGTAGCATTCATCCAGTTCCTTTGAAAAGAACTGAAACTGATAACCAGCTCTTTCTTCTTTTTACAACTGAAACAAGTACTGAATAGAATTGCTATATTACCATTATCAGAGCACTGAAATCAAATGAAAAGAACTAATCACTAGATCCAGTTCTCAAAAAAGAACCACTTCATAGAACTATGAGCTGCTACAGGTCTACAGTTTATTCATATTTGACATTCAATTTAAATGTGTAATATATATCTGAACAGTCGATTAATATATTAGTTTAATTCAAAAATCGATCAATAAAATGGAGTCTATGAGGTTTTTCATTTCAAACTGAATTATGGACAAAAACGTGATGCTCGATTTTTTCCGAACATGCAGGTTTAGAATTCTAAGAAAATAAGCTTTTTTTCTGGACAGAACAGGTGGAGAGAAGATCTTTCTATCAATAAAATATATCACGGATCCCACTAATCATAGATCAATCACACTCTTATTCACGTAATACGAAGTCTCGACTAAGTGATTAACATCCAATAACATGCAGGCTTTTCATCCCTCTATTTTCAAGGCATACCGTCTCATAAATCTTGAGAATCATTTATTGTTATATGTGGCTATATATCACCTTTCTGGTGACAGGGGACTAGGAGGTCTAGGGGTCTTTAGAATTATTCATATAATTATAAATGTGCATACCCGCATACAAAAAGAAGGAAGCATCTACGTATATATTCATATGAATAATTCTAAAGACCCCCCTAGATCCCCATTTCAATTGGAAATCAAGTGTCTTTTTTTGTTCTAATTCAGATTGAAATTAAATACCCCATTGTATAATATTTTGTACATAAAATCAAACCAATCATTTTCTTTTACAGAGCCTGAAAGCAAATGACAGTTTGCAAGGGGATGAAACTAGCACAGTCTACTATCGCATAACCATATGTGATGGAACGTCAAGCTACTTATGTATGTCGATATAGAAACCATTATTACATTAATAATCGCTGCATTATTTTGGACTCATAGCATGTATTTTAAATACAGCCTTGCACTATTTGGTTGAGTTAGTCATATTTAAAAAAACATAATTGTTTATGTCGAAGAACTAGTCATCGATATGTTTGATGATTAAACCAATAAGTAAGACATACTTGAAGCTCTTTCTTCCAATTAACGAGCCTTAATTCCGACAGGAAAAGTTTTCTCTAAGTCAAATTCAATCAAATCTAACGTATCAATCAGATAATAAACTTTGGAAGTAATTATATAAAAAAATTTAGGTTAAACAATTAATGTCGTATTTGTATTTTGAAAAA